CAGCATTGGGCGATACCAATACCATGTGATGACCACCAAGAAGAGCATTGGCATTGGAGTGGAGTCAGCCAGGACCTAAAAGACAAGCTGTGTGTGTTGCAAAGGGCAGGGCTGGATAAGTGATCCGGAGCCTTTGGAAGAGCCCCGAAAATCGTGAGTAAACCCCAGATAATTTGATATTGCATTATTTACACTTTTAGAGTTTGTTTTTGCTTTGATTTGGTTGTGACTGTGCCCTGGTTCTTCCCTCTTGAAAAAAGTATTTAATTTATTTTTAATTTTTACAGGAACCCAAAAGCAAAAGACAGAGCTTTTAAAAGAGATTTTGGAGTTTTAAAGAGAATGGATATTTTAAAGAAATATTTTAATGACTTTGAATGTGTAAAGACAGAATTTTTAAAAAGTTATTTATATTTTAATATGGAATCTTGGGGATAATGAGAAAAGAAAGGTTCTAATTGAAAAGTGATGTGTTTGTGTGTCAAGTTGACAGGGAATCAGTTGTACTAATTTTTTGTCAATTTGACACAAGCTAAAATCATCTGAGAGGAGAGACCCTCAATTAAGATAATGCCTTATTAACAAGTGGGGCATTTTCTTAATTAGTGATTGATGGGGAGGGCCTGGCCAATTGTGGGTGAGGCTGCCCCTGGGCTAGCTAGCGGTCCTGGGTTCTGATAAAAAAAAAAAAGGCTGAGAAAACCATGGGGGGCAAGCCAGTATGCAAAATCCTTCCTTGGCCTCTGCTGCAGCTTCTGCTCCAGGTTTCTGCCCTGTTTTGAGTTCCTGTCCTGACTTCCTTCAGTGATATGGAAATATAAGCTTTTCCTCTCATGGTGTTTTATCACAGCAACAGTAACCCTCACTAAAACACCATGTAAACAACCAAGGGGGGACTTTACTTTATACTTTCTGAGCTGACAAGGGATGACCACAAGCTCAGTTGACAGGCTCCCGGTGTACCCTGGGGTCCCATGGCCACTGCAGGCTTTTAAGATGCTGAAACAGGAGGATCACCATGAGTTTGCCAGCTTCAGCTACATAGCAAGACTCCATCTAAACAATTACAACAACAAAAATCTGTGAAGTTTTGGAGAGAATTCAGAATATTCCTCAAATACACATAGAGTCTGCGTGTCTCTTTCTAAATATTAGCATGGGTAAGCCTGTTTTATTTGACAAATGCAATTGTCCTTCACAGTGAAATTTTTAACATTTTCCTCTTTCCTTTGTTCTTCATTTCATCTCGTTTTCCCTTAAATGTGTTTGATTTTATGTCTGTGCTTATGATCTCATGTTCCTGACTCATGTTTTCACATTCTCATTTTTTTCCTTCTATGTTGTGGAATAAAGACGCTGCTTTCACAGGTCTCTCAGTTATATAACAGTAAGTTATTTATATTTAACCCAGCTCTTGGGTTTTGAAGTTGGGAAGAAGTATGATGTAATATGTGCCACAAAATCTTTACAGCTCCCAAACTCCATTAGCTGAAATTTTGCCATCACATGCCTATTAAGATCATGGTTTTAGTCCCCTTTCCTTGAAATATCTGTCCATCTGGGTATTTCTACTTGGCCCTTCTTGTGATTCTTGTGAGAGGACCTGATAACCATCAGCAACAAATGATCTGGTAAAAGTTTTTATTTTAATGATTTCTGTATAATGAGTGTTGGTGCTTGAGTATGTGTGTTAGGGTGAGAGACTAGGAGTCCTCTAAGATCTCCAGCTAAAGAGAGTGAGTGGAGAAGGAAATGTCAATCTAGATACGTGGAATAACAATGAAGCTTGCATAAACTTGCTCTTGAGTCACCTTATGATAGTTCAAAATTTTGCAAGCTTGCTTAAAACTATAAAATTCATATTTATGGAATAGAAGTATATGTTATAATTTTTATTTACATGTAAGTACTGAATATGCATAGATTTGTATATATAAAGTGTGTGCTTTCAACATCATTTTTCTTTTTTTTTTTTTTTTTTTTTTTTTGATTTTTCGAGACAGGGTTTCTCTGTGTAGCTTTGCGCCTTTCCTGGGACTCACTTGGTAGCCCAGGCTGGCCTCGAACTCACAGAGATCCGCCTGCCTCTGCCTCCCGAGTGCTGGGATTAAAGGCGTGCGCCACCACCGCCCGGCTTCAACATCATTTTTCATTGGACTTTTTAAGTCTTACTTTCATTTTTCCATCTTTGAGATATAATTGACAGATAAGCAATGCAGAGATTGGAGGTGTGTGATGTAGTAACACCAGGTATTGATTTCTGCTTTAGGGCTCATTCTTTTAATCCTTCAGCTTACTTCAGGCTTCATTCCACTTATTTCTCTACTTTCACAATGTAGAATGCAAATAATCATTATTGATCTTACTTTTCTAGCCAGTTCATCCCACCAGTTTTAACAAGTTGCATTGTTATACACTCACTTATTCAAAATATCTTTAACTTTTCTTGAACACTGTAATGTTTTTTCTTTCATTTTTGATATTATGATATAATTTCATCATTTATCCCTTACCTTACCTCCCTCCAAACCATTCCATATACCTCTCCTTGCTTTTTTCAAATTCATGGGCTGTTTTTTCATTAAATGTTGTTATATGCAGTCTTAATCTAACCTGCTAAGTCTGTATAACATTATGTCTGCATGTATGTATGTATGTTTTCAGGGCTGACTGTTTGGTATGGAATAGCCATTTGTGCTTTTCCCTGGGGAAGACCATTTCTCCCACTCTGAGCTTTCCTTAGTTGCCTGTGCCTGTAATTCTTTGTGAAGGACTAAGGCCTCATGAGCTACCTCTACCACCACTCCATTCACTTTGATATGTTTATTGGCATTGTCTTTGTTCAGCTAATGTTCAGGCAGTCATGTTGGTGAGATTTTGTATGTACAGCTTCTTACACTCATAATAGACACAGTCTCACAGAAAAATACCTGATCTGGCTCTTACAATCTTTAACTTATGTGCTTTTGGTGTCATGTGTGAATGCATTTCAGGCCTACAAATATTTAGGGATTTAGTAGCTATATTTCTGTTGCTAATCAAATCACTGATTTGAACATACAGTGTGTGTGAGGGTGTGTGTGCACTTGTGTATGTGCCATACCCTAATTGTGGAGGTTAGAGGACAACTTACAATACTGTAGTCTCTCCTTCTACTACATGGATCCTGGGGATCGAACTGACATCATGCAGTTTGGAGGTGAGCCTTTACATACTGAACCATCTTGCTAAATCTTAAACCTTATTTTCAGGCACATAATCTCTCATTGACCTTGAACTTTATAATTTTTTTCTAAGTGGGCTGGCCAGCTAACTTTAGAGATCCACCAATCTCTGCCTTAAAATACTAGAGTTAGATACCCATGCAGCAATTACTGACTTTTATTTGGGGTCTGGGGATTTGAACTCAGGTCTTCTTGCTTTCACAATATACACCGAGCCCTGTTCTCAGTCTCTTGGTTGTACATTTTCTTTCTATTTGTGTATTTTTCAAGTTTGTTCAGATATATTTTTGGCTCTTAATAACATCTATGATAATGCGTTTTCAAAAACTTATTTTCTTCTGATGGGAATAAAATATAACTATGTATTTTATAAATGTCAATTAAATGAAACTGGTTTATAATATTACTCAAGTCAACTCTATGCTTACTGTTTTCCTGGATATTAAATATTTTAATTGTTAAAAGAGAGTGTTGAAGCTTCCAGATAGAAGTGAAGATTTCTATTACTAATGGCAGACTTATTTTACTAGTTTTTGCCTCATGTTTTCTCATCAAATTGTTCTCAGATGCAGACTTGTTGACATTGTGTTTCTAGATGATTGGCATGTTATTCTTGTTCAGTATCTCTTTTCTCTGATAATGACCTTATTCAAAACTTCATATCTAAATTTCTACTTCACAAAACTATTTTACTGTTCTTATAGAAATGCATTTATTAGTTTTTATAAGCCTTTTTATATTTTAAATGAGAAACAAAGAAATAAAAGGTGTGGATTTGGGTGGGTGGGGAAGTGGGTGAGGGTCTGGAAAGGATTAGGGGAGGGGAAAACATAACTAGGACATATTATATGAAAAAAATGTTCAATTAAAATAATAACATTACCTAAACAAATAAATAAAAGCTCGTGTTTTGGTATGGGGATAGGAAAGGACTATTCAGTTATCTTTAAGAGGCTGACCACTGGAAGTTTGATCATACTCCAATGAGTATATGGGCAACACAAACAAATTGTACTTGGTGTATTTTTTTTTTTAATTTTTGGCGGACACAAGGTGGGAGGGTGGACCTAGGAGGAATGGGAAGCAGGTGATGATCATGGTACATTGTGTGAAATTCCCAAATAATCAATAAAAATATTATGTTGGGAACAAAGGAAAAAAGAAACAGATTATTTTCTTTTATTTCACTCATTTAAATACTATTTTAAGTAAAAAAATTAATAAATATTAAATATAAGTATTAGTTGATAGCATTCATATTTTTTGAAATTAAATTATTATTTTAAATATAGAAGAATATTACTAGGGCTCTAGTAGGATGATGCTTTTCTTTTCTTTTTTAGATTATCTGAAATACAGCTTTATTCTGATTCTAAACAAAAAGAATGGGAATGACAGTGACAAACAAGATTTCACCACAGACTGAACAGTGTGATGTGACTGTAGCAGTCTTATTTTTGAAATTCAGGAGGAAAACAACTGTGTTCCAAACAGCTAAATATGCAAGTCAAAAAAAAAAAAAACCCAAAAAAGAAACCGAAGGTATGTTTTAACTGCCACGTCCACTCCGAAGCTCTTTCATCTCCTTCAGCATCCCAATGAAGTACAGGATCTGTTTAGCTAAATAAAGTGGCTCACATGCTGCACTGCCAACGTCACAGGACAGTTGCCTATAAAACTAGACTTCTGACTCAGGGATCCAGCTTCACTTTCTCAAAGGTCACCATCCTCGTCGGAGAGGACAGTTGTGTGAGCGACCTCTAAATCATGCTTGTACTATGCTGCCAAAGCTGGGTCCATGACCACCTCAGGTAGGACAAGAGCAGGCATGGCAATAAACTCCAAATTAGGGTCTCCGATGAACTTTCTGGCAAGCCTGAGGAGAGGCTTTTCAAAGTTGTAGTTACTTTTGGCAGTAATGTCATAGCACTGAAGATCCTTCTTTCCGTGGAAGACAACAGATTTTGCCTTCACTTTTCTGTCCTTAATATCCACTTTGTTGCCACACAATACAATGTGGATGTTTTCACACATAGATACCAGATCTCTATGCCAGTTAGGTGCATTCTTGGAAGTGACTCCTGATGGTACATCAAACATTACAGTGGCACACTGGGCTTGGATGCAGTAGCCATTACACAGGCCTCCGAACTTCTCCTGGCCGGCTGTGTCCCACACATTGAGCTCGATGGGTCCTCTGTTAGCATGGAAGACGAGCGGGTGCACCTCCATGCCCAGGGTAGCTGCATAGTTCTTGAACTTGCCCATCAAGTGGTGCTTCACGAATGTCGTCTTCCTGGTGCCGCTGTTGCCCACCATGACGAACTTGAACTGGACCTGCCACTCTCCCTGGGCGGTCATCGAGGCAATCCTACCAGAAGTGTCTCTGCACCTGTCCGACTAAGGATGATGCTTTGTTCTCTGTGCACTTAAGATGTCGTAATTACAAGAACCTACAGAAGAAGGATAGGATATGAGAAAAGATGAATGGGGCTCTGTTCATACGGATCACATAGGAACCTTTGACTTTAGGTGTAGCATGAGTGATATAGTTTATAGCATTCATATTTAGAGACAATTTATATATGGAAATGGCATGTTTATATTGTTTTGTAGTCACATTTTATTTTCATGCCTCTTTTAAAAAATCAGATGTTCTCAAATTTATAATACACATTTACATCTAACATAAGATTACCTTGCAATAAAATTATATAAAAGGATACCATGAATAGAGCAGAAACTTTACCCCCAGCTCACATCCATGCTTCTGACTGCCTTTACTTGAGTGATGAATGAGGTCTGTTGTCTTAATGTAACAGTTACCTCCATTTCCTTCTTGAAGGACATCTTGGATACCACTAAGATATAGCAATTATGACTGAAGCTGCTATAAATATCCAGGCACAGGTTTTGTTCTGCCATAATGGTTTCAGATCATTTAGATAAATACCAGCAAGATTTTTGGGTAATTTGGTAAGAGTATTTTAATTTTGTAAGAAACCCTAATGATATTGCAAAACAAATTTTCCATTTTAATTCCATATTAACAAGAGTTCCCATTGCCCAAGTCCACACCAGCGTTTATATTCACCAGCCTTTGGATTCCCATTCTAGTAGATCTTTAGTGATGTCTCAATGATGTTTAATTCTTTATTTCTCTGAATTACAACACCAAGCTTTTTTCTTTGTGCTTATTTGTCACCTGTACACCTTCCTAGGTAAGGTGTTCTGTGAGGTATTTTCCCCATATTTTATTAGTCTTGAATTTTAAGAATTCTTTATATATAGTCTATATATATATATATATATATATCAGATATTATATATGTGTGTGTATAAGATATTGCCCAAAAGTGTTTTGAATACATTTTTTAAAGTTAACTATCTTTCCATTCTGTTAAAATAAATTTAAATCCAATTGATATTTTGAAATCGTTATAGTACCATTGCCTTTAATAAAAGTAATTTTTTCCTTAAAGTTAGGAATCTACTCATCCAAAATATTACACTTGCATTTGTTTTTAAGATTGACTACATTTAGTTTTTACAATTCTAATTCTTTATAGAAAGTACACATGTATTCAAGCCCCAATAACAGCATTTTAATTATGCATTAAGAAAGTCTGAATTATATGAATAATTTATGTTTCACATATACAAGCACAAAACAGAAATTATTGTTATAAATGTGTTAATATGTAAATGAGGATGCTATTGCTTAATGCTTCAGCTAATAATTACTCAGCAGTTTAAAAATGTGATTTATTAATTAGCAATTTGTAAGATGAAATATTCTGGCTTATTTACTATTCTTTCGAGTGTGGAAGTGTATACTCTCATTTTATAGATGTTCTAGTGTGCAGTACAGTACACACTGAATTCCTCTCTGTGACGTTGCATACACGATACTGCAATATTATATATTTGCAAATTTTCAAGAGTTACTCATGCTTATTGTTAAAATGTAAACAATTGAATGAGACACCAACAGATGTTGGAAAGTTATACATTAGTAACTGTGCTAGCCTTTGAGATTAGAGTGATTATAAAATAACTTTGTCAATTTTCTTTTTTTAAAAAATATGGCATGAGTGTACTGCTTAGTCATAAATTCTTGACTTAAAAAAAGAAAATATGGGGCTGGAGAGATGGCTCAGCGGTTAAGAACACTGGCTGTTCTTCCAGAGGTCCTGAGTTCAATTCCCAGCAACCACATGGTGGCTCACAACCATCTGTAATGAGATCTGGCGCCCTCTTCTGGCTGGCAGTCATATATGCTGTGTATACATAATAAATAAATCTTTAAAAAAAAAAGAAAATAAGTTGTTATGTATAATTCAATAGAATGTTACATAGACAAAAGTAAGAAAGTTATTTCTGAATATCCAAAAGGTGTATAAGAACAATAAAAACACACAAACAGCTTCAAAGAATCGACCAGAGGATCACAAATTTAGTTTCCTAGGTCAGCAATACCAAACCAATGAAAACTAAGCTTATTTCATGACCAATATTTGTTAATTAAGGAAGAGATTCTTATCACTGCCATATACAATAATGTTTACCAATACAGGATTAACTTGGAATTGATTAAAGGTTGTTGTATATATGATTTGTTGCAAGGGAAAAGTTTTTTTTTAAAAAAAATTTAGATTATTCATAGGAAAAATGTCATAGTGTTAAGTTTACATAGTAAGATCAGCAAATTTGATTCAGACTGGAAAATTTAGCACCCAAAACGGTGCTAAAATTTGATAAAGAACTTAAGAAATGGAGGACATGTCGCACATATTTATCTTAAAATTTCGGTAAATATTTGTTGGTCCCACAATGATAAATAGAACATTCTGGAATTTCTCTCCTTTTATGAGTACACTAATAAAACAGCAATATGTGGTTAATTCCCTGTAAGGAACTCGGACACCAGTTGTGAGACTCTTGACACACCAAACAAATCTGAAAACATGATTATCAACATTGAGAGGAAGTAGAGATGTGTTCTCGCTGTGAGTTCCTTACCCAACAATGTCCTTTGAGGTTGGGTGTTGGGAGTATAGCACAAAGGTCCTTGTGCCCGCAAATCTCCAGAGAAACCAAGAATGTTAAGCATACAGGATTTTCTTTCCAATGGGAAGCATGAAAAATCTGTTCTTCCATCCAGAAGGCTGAGAATTGGAATTGATTGACTACCTGGTGATCTGAGTTACCCGTTGGACCAGGCCATATCAAGCTCTTACAACCAAGACCCTTGTAATGGTGGCTAGTAATCTAAATGACCCTTGTAGGCAGAAGTTCTCCCAAGTTCCCACAACCATGACTAGGGGCGGCTAATAGCCCAAATGACCTCTATGCTATCTGTATGACTGAGACTAGCCAGACCCTTAGTTCCTTAAGCTATATAGGTAGACTATCCCTAGAACTCATCATCTTGAAGGAAATGACATGTACCCTGAGTTGAGTTTCAATGTAATTATGCTTCCATGTGTAATGAGGATTGTATTGCACCAGGAAACTTTTTTTTCAAATTGTACTAGGCTTAAATACCTGTAATTAGACTCCCTGAAGTCTGATCCAGGTTGACTAAATCAATCTGTACTGGGTTTTCATTCTTATCTCTTAGCAGGGGCTTACTTCCCTGTATGACACCTGCAGAGACCCCTTCAATTGGGAAATCTTTCTCAGCTCTCAGTCTCTTCTATAACACATCAACTTACATAACATTTCAACTCTCTGGCAGGGATCTAACATTCACCAAGGGATCAGGAAACATGTTAGGGCTTTTGAATGATGTGTTCATGAGCACTTCCCAAAACATTGCCTTTTGGGCTCAGCACAAAGTGAATGGGCATTTAAACTCAGAATTCAGCTTCTCTCTAATAAGCAGACATCTAGCACTTCAACCTTTCCAGATGCTGCACAAGCATCCAGCTTCTAACTGGCCAGTTTTCTGGAGATGTTGAAGTAGGCAACAACTAGTCCCTGAAGTCCTTGGTGGACCCTATGGGCATTTCCAATGCACCCTCCAACCCTCAGCATACTCAGCTGGTAGCATTCAGCTTCCAGTTTGTGGCTGGATAAAGTTCAACTCCATAACTAGCATCTAAACTCTCATGGACAGTCCCTGAGAGACTGACATCAAACTTGCCCATCTTTGTAAATGAGAAGATTTGGAATTTTTCAGATCACTGAAGACTACAGAGCAAAACAACATTTAAAAAATATGGTTTGAACAGGCATGCTCTCCTACTTATGTTTTTATCACTGTGATTAAATACTATGACCAAAAGCAATTTGAAAAGGAAAGGGTTTATTTTTGTCTTATACTTCCAAGTAACAGTTCATCACTGAAGGAAGTCAAGGTAGGAACTCAAGCAAGTTAAAAACCTACCGGCAGGTACTGACACAATGACCATGGAATGGCACTGTGCTGTGGGATGTTAATGTATGTCCTGTGGGAGCCCTTCTTGGGTTCCTTGTGGTGTTACCCGGCAGGTTTGCATAGAGGATGATTAGGACCATGGGCCTGAGTGCAGGTGTCTGAGATGGTCTGCACTTGGCTGTACTGGGGGATGGTCTGTATGTCAAGTTGCTCTGATT